GGAAACCCGTCCACCCGGCCGCTTTTCAGTCTCGTGCGCTGGCGGTAATCATGCCGCGTTTCACTGCTGGCTGAACCTGACGGCAGTGAAATTAGTCCATGCCTCTTCAGTGAACAGACTTTGTTGGGGCTGAGGTTGGTTCAGATTACAAGGCCCCTTGTAGCACTGCAGTTGCTCAGCCTGGTGGGCGAGTCCCGAAGGGGACACCTCACTGTCCCCGTTCTGCTGCAAACGTTGCACTCGAAACGCGCCAATACATAACAGGAGCTTAGTGACTACCTGGAGACAGCCGAAGAGCACCTGACCAAGCATGCACTGCTGGTGCGCATGCTCCCGCGCGGAAGCGGAACATGAACTTCCTCCTTCCGCAGCACTGTCTCATGGCAATGTTGCCGTTTGTCTTCGTGACGGGTCATAACGAGAATGCTCACTAACTGAGCTGACATGTCAGACAAACGAAGTACCTTCCCCAGGGTGCCATGGAGGAGCTGCTGGCGGGCGCGCACACCTGGTGACACTGGGGCAGCGAGATTATAGTGCTAACAGGCCAGATGTCGGTTGACCGCGGTGAGCTGCTGTACCATGTCGTCTGACCATCTCCTGGGACTGGAGAAGGCTTGGCTGAAAGTTTGGAGGCTCGGCCGGCCCGCTACACTCCTAGCCCCTCCCCCCCCCCCCCCCACCGAAGAAACCTCTCCGTGACCCTTACCCCTCCAAAGACGAGAACTAGAGGTATTGTCAACTCCGGTAGGGACTAAGAAATGTCAACCATCATACCGGCCGTCTCAACAGCAGCAGTCACTCACGAAGCGCCCTGGGTGCAGTGACCCGCAGCTTCAGCCGCTAAAAGCAAGGCATTCGGCGATGCACCCTGCAGCTTTACCGGCCACAGCGCAGGCCCTTGGAGTACAGAGTACTACAAATGTTTAGGAAAAGTCGCATACTGTAGCCGTTGCATCAACAAGCAAGCGAACATCAAAGACAACGGAGAGGAGCTAGGTAGGTGTACATAGTGATTGTCATTATGAAAAGTAATGGGGGCATGTAGCGTGTGCTGGCTGGTAATACTGCACTCAAGGTTTCTTTAGATGTCCGGACACTGTAGTCCAAGGGCGTTTCAGAGTTTGATATTTTGCCTCCGAGTTGGTGTTATATTAGACCTCGTAGCATAGTCCAGGAATGTACCATCTTGAATTCTGAGAATTACCCAGGGTGACACAAAAAGCAACCAACGTAAGTTGGCTTTCCTTATTACATATAATATATTTCCATAAGAAGCGTTCGAAGGTTTATATAATAGTGCTCACATTTAGGAACTTAGCTATGTGATTTCTATCGGTTTGGAAAGAATCCACGCAACTAATGTAAAGTAAAAAGCGCCGGCAGCTTATTCCATGCGGTCAGTTCCATGCAGTCATCCCACGTAGCTATTCCCGCTTCCTTCAGTTCATGATTTCAAAATGCAAACAAAATGTCATCTTCCGGTGGGCCCTCTGGCTTTTGTTACAAATCAGGAATTTAAACTAAAAATTAGACGAAGAAAATCGTGAACTTCGAAAGAAAGTGGACCAAATCCAGCGACTTACTTATGTAGTTGGGGGGCCTTCACCATCAGGGTGCCCTTCGTCAACCCTGTACCCTCTACCCCCCTTTCCTCTAACAAAGGCCCTGGCTGTGCCCCTGGGGGTGAGCCAGCACAAAATGCCACCCTTCAGATGCCGGGTTCCCGTTGCTGTCCAAAAAAGATCAAGATTTATAAGAACGTACAATTTCTGAACACAACCTGGGGCAGTACGGATCCTCGAACGTCAGCAGGAGGCATCAGTGGTCACCACGTGCCGTATGTAGCCAGAAAACCGGAAGGCGAGGTTCGACGCATCGCATGTCGCCCCCGGGTGGCGACTATTCCCGCCCTTTGCCATGGCCCCACCCGCGGCTGTGTTGTGGCGTCACGCCCCCACAGGTCGCGCCTACGGCGGCGAGTCATCGTGCCCTGCTGAGTTGTTCAGTGCCCGACGATGAGGCGATACCTTACCGTCTCCGTGATCCTCTTCGGGGACTAGCGCACGTACCAGTTGCGTCGCTTCACACCAGCAAGGCCTGGTAGAGAATTTTGCTCCACATATTTATTTCACCCGAAGAAACCCGACCAACAAAATGCATCACGTCCAAAATGCAGGAGTAATAATTTCAAGAAATGTCTTGTAAATAACATTTACGGGATGAATATTACCATATGAACAATTTTTAACAAATTTTAAATCAAATCAACTGCCAACAAAAATTTTCCTAAACAGTATCAGTATTTATATTTATTTAACTACTTTTGTTTTTCTCGGTATCATACGAGTGTGATACCACTTTAATCTTCCTTTCTTTTCAATTGCCTTTAGAGGTACTATCTGTTGCTTAAAATGCTGACCAAATTCTGTGCAAGATGCTCCAACTGCAAACTTGCACGTATTTTACACATCAATTGGGTTAATTTGCCATGCTGCCCAAACATGCTTGATATGCACCCAAGAGTGAACAATTCACAGGGAATGAAGAAGACAATTTGAAGCACATGACTTATTTTCACCGCCATTTGTATCCTGTTAAACCCTCGGTTAGCCATTTTTTGGCTTATGGCGGTGCTAGGTAATGATAAATCTAACCCCTTCGAGTGTCTAGCTCACCAGGCTGCCCGACAACGCTATCCTTATGCTGTCATATAGAGCTTTGGGATAGACCTGACGCAGCTAATACAGAAGTGTCTGATGGCAAAATTCTGCCCTCCGGAAATGTTCATCATGCACACCTCTTACATGTTTCGCACTTTAATCCCCTAGGTTGTTGGACGTGATTGATATTTATCTTTGGGGGTGAGTGGGATGACTCTGTCTGTCAGCACCGTGGTACTGACTTTTTATTTTGGGGGACCAGGAAGGAGTGTGCCCTGGTAAAGCCAGCAAGTCTCCCGTGGACCAAGTAATTACTTACCTTACCTGGTTTCAACACACGATTTGTAACCAGAGTTAGCCATTTTCTGTTTTAATCCATCAAGTTTTGCCGTAAGACAAATTATGATGTCACAATGCATGCAATGGCGTTATTTTGTTCCATATTCTTGATTATTTGCCCCAAATTTCTTGAAGTGGTCCCTAATGGCTGCTTGAACCTGATGTTTTTTTCATACTTGTCGTGGTTTGCTTACTGGCAAATGACTACTGTATATCTGCAGTATATTTTTAACACTGGGATAATCTAAGCCGCAAAGAAATGATGATATGAGATAAACATCGGTATTAAGCAAAAAGTCAGAGCATCCCATTTAAAATGTGAGGACAACATCTCAAAATATGTCACTAAATATGAATAAACAAGCCTAAATAGCTGCCTTTGCTGCAGCTGAAAAGGCAAGCAGCAGTACTGGCATGGCCATCCAAAAGTTATGTTACTTTTGGAGAAAAGTGATTATTTTGTGGAGCATACCCATTATTGCCCTTGACAGAGGTAAACCAAGGCAATCAGAATAAGTTGTTAAAAGTGATTTAGTGTTTTCAATTACCTGTTGCCAGCTTTGTCTGATGTCAATAAGCGTACACAAATGAACTGAACAAAAATGCAAGTTGAAACCAGCCAAAAATGAGCTTTATCGTGTTTTTATCACAAGTGCTGCTGTCAACAGATGGGTGAATTGAGATGATGCTCAACATATTGGCTACTCTAAATTTGGTGAAGTTGGTTAAGTGCATGGCAAGTGACAATAGGAATTGTGCAGGAATCAGTTACTCACAACTGCTGCTGTGATACCAACAGGTTAGGCAGGGTGAGATGAAGCAAGGTCTCCTTAGGTTGGGCATAGCTAGGCTACTTTCATGGAAATAAGCGTTGGTATTTGGTAAGAAACAGTGACAAATTGTTTGCCTTCCCTGATCCCATCTCAACAGAAACCAGAGGTATGTGTATTGTGTCTGACTTGGTGATAGGCTGCTGTGTAGGAGTCCAATATTTTTTCTTGTTTGAGTGCTTTATGCTTGTTGAATTTTCGGCTGCTATTTTGTTGTTGAATTCCTTCGCTTTGTTTTGTGTTAAAAATGCTGTGGGAGGGAGGAACAAAGTGCAGTATCAAATTATTGGTGTTACTGAATTTTTTATGCTTATCACACTGTCATGAAATTGCTATGCTTTAATGTATTCTGTTTCACTTTAATGGCCGATGATGTTGAAAACAAAACAGTTTTGTCAGGTTTATGATATTGCGTTCATGCCAACTTGAAATCGATGTTTTTGCTGAAGCATCAGTCACTTGCTCATAAGTTCCATCTTTTGTAAATTGAATTTGTCCCTCTCGGACTGTCTTTTTGCCATGAATTTTTTCACACCCACCCTAGTTCAAAAGCGATTCCAGCACACTGCTTTAGCATGACATTCTTCGAAATCATTAAGTCTGAGGAAAAGAGAGCTGTGCATCACGAACAAGCAACAATGGTCATAACGGACAGCGGTCCAAGCATGAACGCTCATGCTGTGCTGGGGCCGATGAACCGATAGACGCAAGACAACAGAATGCGTCATGGACCATTTATAACGGTCGTTTGAATCAATGGTCTTATTCTTTGAACGAAAATGACAGCGATGCCCCAAACAGTGAACAGTGACACTCAACAACCCCGAATCGTCATCGGATGCGACGTAGCTGCCATCGCACCAAAGTGGGTGGAAATCGGAGCACGAACATCGGAACGGAGACGGAACGGATCTCAAGTCAACTTAGTCTGTCAAAGGCTTTGCCTAGAGCAGCAGGAAACCACCCTTTACATCAAGCACTTCGCCGTTCTTTTTCGGCAGGCCCAATAACGCGAGGCACGGCCTTCAGCGGAGCGGTTGAGAGGCCGTTGTGCGGATTTGCTTTGGTGCGGGGCGGCTTCTTCTTGTGCCACTTCGGCCTGAAGTGGCCATCAAAACACACGAGGACTTTGATGTCGAGCTCGAGCCCGTGTCGCATTGCCGGCATCTCAGCGAGGACCGTTGGTGCCCGGAGGACCTGTCAGCCCGCAGCCGGGGCTGACAGGGCCGGCGGGCGAACGCGGCGGGCGCGACGGCGGCGGCTGGCCCGCGCCCGGCAGGGTCGAGCTGCCGCGGGACGGCTGCAGAGGCGAGCCGGGTCCGAGGCCGAGCCGAGCTGCCACCCGCGCCGCCTCGGCCGGCCGGCGGGCGCCCCGCCTCCCCGAGCCGAAGCGGGCACCCGCGCCGCAGCGAGCGCACGGCGGGCGGATCCCGACGCTGAGCGCACGAGGGTGGACGCCAAACGGGCGGCGCCCTGTTCCCCTCGGCCGCCAGAATGCCATCGTCAGGGAGATTGGTCCAGTCGAGACAGAGGCTGCTCGGTGGGTCGGTCGTTTTGCCACGCGCCGGGCCTTCATAAGGTGGCGCATCAGCTCTGGTTGTGACATCTCTACGGGTGCAGATGTTTCTAAAGCTCTGTCCGGCAAGAAACAGTCGTGCAGCGTAACACCCATCTGAAATCAAAGACGGAAGATCCATTAGCACGTCGGTGGCAAAACGCATGACTTTTAAAACACTTATGACTTCACACATCACACATATCGCGACATTTCTGTTGTCACCCACGAAAACCAGAGCGCACGGTAAGTCTAAAAAAAAACAATATATCATCTACATATCACACGTCTAGATAGCACATTACTGAAAAAACAAGGGTCAACCCAGGTCATGAGTATTAATAACGCCAGACTGTAGTTTCGGGACAAGGTAGTAACAACGGTCTGTGAAAAAGGTAGTGAGACGAAAGCGTCACTTTATCGCAATGCATTACTGGCGAATGCCATGCTCAACGTTTCAGTCCGACACGAACGAGCTGAAGCTTCTCTAAGCCACTGGCCTGACATGATCTAAACCTCACCAGAATTACAGCACCCTTGAAGCAGATGCAGGGTTAAGTACTAAAATGCTCAGGAAGACAGCGGAAACCGTTTCGGACATTTTCTTAAGAAAATGTCACAGAGGGGACGGATCCTTGCCCCTTCGTCACCAGGGCGATGGTTAAGTCGGCGAGGAGGGGGATAAAAACACCAAAAACGGCCGTGCCGGTAAAGCGGACGTCACGGTTCGCAACACAATGATTCATTTATCCTCAACGTTGCTCCTATCCCGCCACCACACCGGCGATGATGATGACGGCAAGAGGCCATCGTTGGCAGCCCAGCGGCGACCGTCATGTCGCATTGGGCCGAGCTGAGGCGAGATGCAAGGGTTTCGATCTAAAAAGTGTGGCACAACCCACGAGTGGCTGTACATTAGCAGCAGAAAGGAGCACACATTCCTGGGAACGTTCGAAGGGCCCCTGAACATGTCAGCTAGCTCAGCCGTGGGGAAAGTACCCGGCCCGCGTGGTCAGCGTAAATTCCGCTTGATGAAGCTGGGAATTCCGTTGGAATCTGATATAGCTAGCAATTCGAAAAACTCGTCGCAGCTTTTCGCGTTGACGCCATCAAAGCGTGCAATATCCCAGCACCAAAATTAATCCATCAATGACAGCGCCAGCACCTGCACCAACGGCGTCAGCCGAGCAACTGACAGTTGATGCGTATCTCCCAGCGCGGACAGCTAACGGGACATGGTCCAAAAAAGGAGGGCAAGACCAACGTACCGAAGCACTCCACCGCTCGCGCGTCTTCCGCGTTCGATCTATCGTAAAAACATGGCGGGCCTTCTTATGAGCGTCGAGCTGAAGTAGGAATCGAAAACACATCCGATCAGCCTGCCACGCATCATCACTTGTGGCCGACAGACAGCAGGCCAGGCAGGAGGTGCAGGGCATGTCTGCGAGAAGACCATCGTCCCAGTGTGCGACCCAAAGCGGCTGATCTCAGTTCATCCGGTGATGAGGGCAACAGAGGAGACGGCCAGGCCCTTGGTGGAATACCCAGGGTCTGCAAGATCAGCGACGATGTGGTTGCGTGCAACAGGGTTACGCCACACGCCTGCTGCACACTAGCATCCTAGAGCAGTTTGAGGGTACGTTGACGAGCTCGTGTTCGCTCACATTAAGGTCAAGCACTGCGGTTCCTTGGTTTGCCCAACGGCCCCGTTCCTGACAATGGGGTGGTTCGATCCAGGCTTAGGTTCTTAGCTTCATATGAATGTAAACCAGCTAGGTCAATCCTCCCTCGGGCAAAGGAGTACTTTTCAAAAATAGCTTGGGACCTGAGCAACACAAATAGCTTAACATGCCCCAAATGCACAAAAACGGATTTGTCCCCAAATACGACAAACTTTATTGTCAAAGTTCGGGACTCCCCCTCCCCCACTGAATATTGCGGGATATCTCAATTAGCTGTAACTCTGCGAAACATTCTGAAAGTGAAACGCCCTTGGCGGTGGAATTTAAATTACGACGCTTCGCTCCAGAAAGTAGAGGCTGCTCTGGTGTCTCCGCCCATGACAGCATTGATCGTATCACACCTACCTGCGGTGCCATAATTCAAGTGTCTTACAACAGAACGGGCTCAGTTTTTGGAGTTTTCCATCGCCACAGGAGCGGGGGCGATTACGCCCGCGATAGCCCATATCAGTACAGTTAAATGCAAAGCGAAGGGAAAAATCGCTACAACAGTTGTACAGAGTTATTGGGACTGAAACACGATTTGAGATATTCATAATTTTCCGCTCGTTCTAGGGACAACCCATCAGAGAGCCTCTCTCGCAAGGCCAGGTTCATCCAAAATGACGACGGTGGAATCAAATATGGTGGCGATCGAGCAGACCCAATGCATGCATGCATGCAAGGGGTGTCAGTACGAACGAATGATCTTTCACCTCCTTCCTGTGCTGGATCCACAGCAGGTCGTCGGTCCTGGGGTACTTCCTCGGCCGCCCACGCCTGCGCGGCATCAGGCGTCTCCACCCGAGCCATTCGACCTCCGTCATGTCGTGCGGCATCCTCTTGTGCTGCGCGATCGTCCGCCTTCCGGCTGCCGGCCGAGGAGCGCGCCCCTCTGTGGTCCGAGGCCGGCACGGATGCCGCGGCGGGTACCCCAGCGCGTCCAGTTCGGATTCCACCACCTCCCACAGACGATCCAGCACGGGGGGAGCCAGCGGACCAGTGGCCACAGCGTCCTCTTCCATGTGGTACAGGAGCCGTTCCTCTGAGTGCACGGCCAGCGTAGCTTCGTCCAAGTTGATCGTCTCCAGCGTGTGACTGGATATTTCCGGGGCTGCGTTTGGGCCGCGAACCAGTTTCAGGGCCTCCGCCTGGTCTACCAAACGGTACTGCAGGGGTATGGCATATATTTCCGGTCCCGCATTTTGGCACCAGGCAGGTAAGTCTGCGCCGCTTTTCCTGGTTAGCTGATGTCGTGTTTGGTGACATCTCTTTTTAAACAACGTCCATCGGTTCTTTTTCCGTCTTCTCCGTCTTTTGCCGCTTGGCTGTTTCCGCACGTCTCCATTTTCTTTGCTATAGGTAGAAATGACGGCCTTTGACGAGGAAGCATCAGAATTACAATCGTGTCCATCAACATCTTCCTGTCGGAACCCCTCAAATCCGGCCATATCGGAATCGGAATCATTTTCGATTGAGCCTGCGCCTTTTTTGTCTCGACAGTGCTGCATGTGCCTTTGCAAAATTCGCTGGACTAACTGACCGCCGTGAGGGAGATGGGTGGACGTCTGTATCAGGTGAACGCTGTGATTTCGTGAGCTGTTCCTGAGACAGCGCTTGTGGAGGGGAGCGTGACCAGGCACCAGGAGTCAGTGGGTCCGAGGTCAGCAGGCACCCAGTCCACCTTGGGCAGGTCCTGACACCAGTAGCAGGTCAGCTGGTGGAGAGGCTCCGCGGCGGACGGTGGAGAGGAGGCGGCGGGCACAGGTATGGCCTGAGAACCGAGCGGGGTGTAGGGCCAGCAGTCCAGCTGAGGAATAGGAAAGAGGGTGCCATCATGTAATTATAACAACCTAACAGGTTTAACCAGCGTGCCGTGCTGTAAATACATACGCATTCAGTGTTTATTTGCAATAATCGCTTATCAAAGGTCCATACAATGTACATTATGTACGCATCTGACTACGTCAGTGTTTCCAAAACATTCCTGATACCTCACCTCCGCGCACTGGTTGAGCGTAGTGCTGGGACTCAGAGAAACCGCACAGCCGTTCAGATGGCCATCCCCACATCGGTGATAGCGATGCTGTTCAACAGGCGACAGTGTGGTCTGACTGTCACGGTTCTGTCGACAGTCACCACACGTCCATGCCTCTTGCTCTGATTGCGAAAGAGGCACCTCCGTTTCATCCACGCAGTGCAGGTGGTATCGGGCAGCGCAGGCGATGCATTGTAGCAGCTGAAACCGGCGCCCGATTCAGTGCTAATTGGCGAGAGGCAAGCCACTGCACTCACTAGGTCTCTGGTCAAAATCAAGGCCAACGGTCGTGAAATCACCAGTGGTCTGGGTGTGAAAGGAATTGTAGCGGTGTGCCCTTTAGGCAATGTCACCTCGCAGGGTCAAAGGCAGAAATACATATGCGGCATGGACGATTTCAGACCATAACGCAATGCCTGTCATTTCTTCTTCTCTCACTTGCCTTTCCCTAATGTCATGATCTCTTTTCAGGAGCAGTTGGGTTTGTATAAGCTTCGCTTAAACAGAAAAGGCATGATATGGCAGGTACAATGAAAATGTGGTTGGGTGGCTAGTTGGCATAGAATAATTGCATATTTTGAGTATTGTTTGAGCTTGAGTAGGCCAGATAAGGTTGCATGGATCTCTGGCACGATGTCACTAGCCCTACATACCGACATCTCTTATGTTGGTCCAGGGAAACGTAGCACTTAAGACCTGATCAACACGCGCTCGGGTGGGGGCCATTTTGACACCTCCGAGGTCTTTCCGGTATAATTCCCTAAAGTAGCAACCCAGTGCCAAACTGTTTACAACTATGGACAATCTAACTCCGATATTTTGTGTCAACTCCGATTAGACAATCAAATAGCTGACGGCTAACATTACTACTAATTCAACTGACCTTGGGTAAGATATAAAGATCATATCAAGGTCAGGTCAAAACCAAACAGTTTTTTTTAGCGGGGAACTAGCTTCATGGAGCAACTTTTAACGTTCAATTTGAGCTTCCTTATCACAAGGACATAAACAGACTCCCTTTTTGGACTTATGAAGGTCAGGTGAGGTCACTGATCTCACGTGACAATTGAAGTACAGTGCAACAAACACCAATTTTGAAGTAGATATTTGATCAACAGGACAAGAAAACGCAGACCTCATGATATAAGAACCCGGTATAATCGTAACCTTCGTCCAAGGCAAAACATCCAAACGTCTTCTTGGGGCGCGTTTTGAGCGTGGAGGATACGTTTAGATGGGGTGCGCTTAGACAGGAATCGTTTAGGTAGGATGCGTTTAGAAATAGTTATCAGTTGTGGCTGTGCATATCAATACCCCATAGCAATTTATGAACAAATCTTACACTGAGAAAAACAAAAACACCCTCAAGGTGCTGTGTGGGATGTGAACATCGTTTAAAGAGTATGAAGTATTCTCATTTAACGGTCACTTGACTCTTAAGAGTGTTTTTTTTACCAAAGCGAGTGTAATCCCTTGAACGGAATAAATCCTGCCATGTATTTTCAAACTCAGACAGGGTACCATCATTTTGACTCCCAAGTAGGGTATTTTGATGATCCCCGAGTGGGAGTACTAGCAGTTTTTTAAAGGGGATGTGTTCCTCCAACTCCCTTCCGCTTCCTTTGTTCATTCTTGCAAAGGCATTTCAACCTTGCCTACATGCCATTCGCAGGGAGTGTCATTTGCCAAAAGCGTTTAGGGGCTATGCAGCGTGTTTGGCTTTTTGCTCAATGCGCTGGCGTGTTCGGAGTCACAATATTTCATTTTTACGAGCGTTGATACGCTTTTATCGATGGCGTACCAAAGAGGAGGGGAGGGGGGGGGGCAGTCACGACAGCGGATGTAAGAGAGATATGGAGGTTTACGTCCAGCTCATCCGACGGAGCCAGGTCTGCCAGGTCGCAGGGCAGATGTCGGCGGGCTCCGCTCAAAGGTCACCGCGACCCTGGCGCGTGCGCCTGAGCGCTGACCTGCCAGGTCGCGTCAACGCCGGCCCGAGGGGCGGGCGGCGCGATTGTGACGCGTCACGGACCACCGCTGGGCAACAGGGGCGTGCAAACCGCCGGGGCTCCATCGGCACATCTCTGGGAGGCACGGGTTATTAGGGTGGAGGAAATGGTCGTGATGAAGGCCATGCCCTTCATAGAGATGTTAAGCTCCATCGACGGGCCCACAGGCAACAAATGCTGCTAGCATGCAGGGGTAGAACATAACATTTTTCATTAGGGGGTGGGGGGGGGGGGGGGGGGCGAAGCCAGGAGCATTGTCCATCCGATACCCGAGACACAAATCTTCACGAATTTGTCCATTTTACTATGCGGTCAGAAGAAAGAAGTCCTTTAGCTCCTGTTTTTTCTGGCTAATAACTCAAAGTATTTACGTTGAGTTAAAGACCTTCGATGCATCAGGAGGTACTGATGAAACGACAATGTGGTGCTTCGCAACGACTATTCTGACAATACTCAATATATTGAGCTGTTCCCATCCTCCAGAGCTCATCTCTTGAGAATGAACACGGGGCAGCGGGTGGACGTCTATGTTTCAGTAACCTTTCTTCATAGACATCTCATAGCTTCCGAGAATTCAATATACCGATTTTGCATCCTGTTTAAGTTTAAAGAAGTAACATTTGCTAGAGAAAAACCAACCGCTATTTGGCCACAGCACCTGCCTGTCACAGTGAACACTGCGCATGTCCACAAATGGTGCCGCTTCGAGGCCGCTCCAGGAGGCGGCGGGAACGCAATGATTTGAAGTGGCTATTGGGCTCCTGCCGAAACTACCAGCCACTGGAACTAAAGAAGATAATTTCGTTGAATGACATGATGCTAATGCACCTGGCCTGCCTAGATTTGATGGTCATATTCAACTTGTGATCGAACAATATACACAGAGGTGTATCCTCAGGGTGGGTGGGAGAAGGCATGGACCATGCTGCCCAACGTCTTAGATCACTTAGGCTTTGGTGCCCTTCGTGGCACGAAAACCTCATGGTGAAAGAATACCAAAATCTTCATTTCGGAACCACGTGGCCTTTATTTCCAACAAGCGCCAAATTCCAAGGACACTGCAAAGGGTCCCAAATTTGCATTTCTGGGAGCCACCGAATGCCCGAAGCGCTACAATATATGCACCTTGTTCGTTTGACAAAATCCTGGATTGGCTATTGGGCAAAAGGGCATTGCAACCATTATCTCCACACAACAGACCTTACTTTCAAGAGTTACACAGTGCCAGAGAGTACCCCGAACGGTAGCCAACCTTCATTCCCAAAAGGCACAACAACTTTGTGCGTCCCACCCCGAACCAAATCCTGGAACACTTCCGTAGACAACGTGCACCAAAACCCTTCGTTCTGAGTATGAAGACTTTTATTTTCAAAAGGAGTTTCTGTGCGTTTCACAGCGACGAAGTTTCTGGTTGGCCCGTTCTTCGACGATCGGCGAAGTGGCACCCATTTTATTTTTTCAAGTTGGGGAGTCATAGCCTCAGAAGCGCCTAATTCCAGCGAACACCTCAAAGGGTCCCAAACCTCTACATTTGATGGACAAAGACTTAGAGGAAATCGCGATGACCGTGGCGCTCCATTGACGAAATCATGGACCAGCCCATTCGGCGAAGGAATATCAGAACATTCATTTCGCGGCACCAAAACGTTTTACTAAGGGTACTAAGTGCAAGCAGGCCATTGAAATGGTCTCTAAACCTTCATTTAAAGGACACCAAGGGGCACAACAACTTATTCGCTTTCCATCCCGACCAAATTCTGGATCGACCACTTCCACAAAAGAGGCACCACAAAGCCTTCATTGTGGTGTGTCATAAACATGTAGGCCGGCAACCAACTCCATGGGAGCACAGTGGGCCCCAAAGCATTTATTTTCTAGAGACGACAAATTTCAGGGCCACCTCAATGTCCATAACTCCCAAAGGATGAAACCCGGGATCGGCCTATTCGGTGATGGGTCATCAACACTTTTATTTCCGGGCACCGTAATCATCATTTTTAACGGTCACCAAATCCCAACCGGTCACTTAAAGGACCCCAACCTTTCCATTTTCAAAGGACACCAAAATCAGGGGCAGCACAGCTTCTGTGCCTACTACACTAACGAAATCCAAAGTAGGCCCTTTCAGCGAAGCGATAACCAATAGCTTCATTTCAGGCATCACGACCGGTATTTTGAAGAGACACCACGTCTAGGGAGGCGCCATGAAGTCCTCCTGGCCCTTTAATTTCGAGTGGTGTCAAACTCCAGAGGCCAGCAAAACTTGCCCCATTTTTCATTTTCACGACAAACCGAGGGCACCCGTACCGGTAGGACAGGCACACGTGACCTCCCTTAGGCCCTAAGGTACCGAGGGTCTCGTGGAGTCCTTTGAGCCCTGAGGGAACGACGATCAAGGGTTCAATGGAGGAGTCCGAAGGGCGGACCCGCGATGAAGGCACCTCAGCCAGTAGGCAATACCGAACACGCTAACTCAATATGATGACGTAGTTTAACTGCACATGCTAAAACGATGCGAAAATGTGCAGGCAGTTGTGTACGAAATTCGTACATATCGCACATTGCGTACTATGTATCATATGTATTACAAGATGTGCTTATTTTGCACGCTTCTACTATGTCACGTGTACTGCAACTTCCATATGGTTCAAATGAAAGACGATTTTGCGTGCGGGGGAGCAGTAACCCTAATATCCTCGTTTTAAATATTTAACAATCGCCTTGTTTATGCTTCACTCGTGTCACATTCCTCAATAAGAATCTAGGCAATATCCGTGCTTCTTCAAGATACTCAAAACATGCGGCTCAACATTGAAATATTCCCATGTCAACGACGCAAAACATTTTACGCATTCCAAGGAGCGGGCGGTATATTTCACTTCAAGAAAGAATTTCGCTTCAATAGTCCGCGATTTTGAATAGTTTCGAGCTTTCTGCCACCACCACCATTTCAATATTGGCGTCATGACATGCCGCTTGAGTTACATTACAAGGAAACAGTGTGTACAAGCTACTGCTTTTGGATTTAACCATTGACTGGGGTTTGATTCCCCGTGGTGCCCGCCGTTTCTACCAGGATAACAGGCAAACGTTGCCATATAATCTCAGAAGCTTTCTAAAGCCCTAAATACACACAAGCATCCCCTGTGAGGATGGCGACTTATTGTCGAAAAAGCGCTTTTAGGCATTAAA